ATTCAAACATTCATAACTTTCTTCATTCAACTTTTTGCAAGATGTCTAAGGCTAATTAGAAACTAGAAGATTAGAGCTTTCAAGCACCTGAAAATTTTCCAGCGATCATTTCTTTCAAAAAATAGTCCCGTTGTTCCGTTTTTGGGGGGTTTGTGGTCCGATTTTTGAGAAGGCGCGAGTTTTCGACATTCAAACGTTCATAACTTTCTTCATAATCAACTTTTTGCAGATGTTAAGGCTAATTAGAAACTAGAAGATTAGAGCTTTCAAACAAGTACCTCACTTTTTCCAACGATCCCTCTCTCAATCCGTTTTTCCACCTTGATTTTTTTCAAGCCATTTTCTGGACCGCGACTATGCAGTCTTCAAAGGCCCATAACTTCCTTCAAATTGATGTGATGAGAAGCGGTAAAGATTGTTGGAATCTACTCGAAGAGTACTTCATAACAGGTGTGAAATTTTCCTGAAATTCTTCTTCTGCCTCAATTTTCCTAAGGGTCTCTAGAAGTCAATTCAGCAAGTTCGCTACACTTTGTTCCGCTTAGAGTCAATTTGAAAGCATCGAAATTCTCTTCAGGAAGTTTGTCTGCTCACGGCCGCTGGCAGAGAAGGCGTTTCTATGAGAAAACGCCTGCTCGGGTTTGCGCCGTGCACCTGTCTGTGGTTAGAAGTCGCACTCGCATTTGAATGTCCTCCATTTTCCTGAAGAATCTAGTAGTTTCGGTGATTGAATTACATTGTATTGTTATATGGTACTCTTGTTTCACTTCCCCATGAAGCATCACTTCCCCTTGAAGTGCTCTACAATTTGTTCCTCCTTGGGAGTTTAGGAATGTTCGATCATCGAAGACAGACCATGTTTTTGCACTTGTTTTTGGCTATTGTAACCTTGACATATCCTGTCGAGCGAAAGCGCCCTCCGTGTATTAAGGATAATAATGGCTGATAGTGAGACTTATGACGCTGTGCATGCTCTAATGCTCCCATGGAGCTCTTGTCTGTGTGACTCTCCCGACAGCTGCACTGTGCAGAGCTCCTGGAGAACATTAGCGTGACAGCGACGCTATCAATCTTTATAAAGCTCCACTTTATACAAATGCAGAAGGCAGACTGTAATCGACAGATCATTTTACTATTTCGGTTTATTATGAATATCCAAACGGTCCAGAATTCCCTAGATGACCATAGATATATTTCCTTAGATCTTTCTCGTCGTCGTACCCAGAGACTACATCAAAGCCGTCTAATATGCGTTTAGAATTTTTATCATATCATAACGCCTATTTCAACGTCATGTGACGTCAGAGCATGTGCTCACAACAGCAACTAGGATGTGCATTTACGAAGAGGAACGACGGGAGTCAAAACTAATTGGCATGAAATATAACTAATCGAAGTTATTTTGGCTGCTATAACGTACATACTTAATGTTATTTAAATCTTCTACCGAATAGAAGGTTCGCCCTCATTGCGGGTTATCATTTCACACCAACATGTTATGCGGCACCATGTCAACGAACCAAACGCAGAGCGCGTATAGTGTACGAGCGCACGGACTCTTTAAATGCAAGGTTCAGGATGAAACTGATGTGGTACTCCCCTCAAATATGAAAGAGTATGCGAGTGGGCCGCAACTGAAGAAAAAAAGGATAAATAGTTTCAGAAACATGAAATTAGAAAGCTGATTTCATGCTGTGAATAGTGCCAAGACTTACCGTCGAAAATACAATCGCGAAGGGAAAGGCAGACTCGAGTCAAGTTTGCATATAAGTTCAGCGTTAAGGGACGGAAAGGATCGGACGGTGATATTGATTGACTAATTGTGAAGGGTGATTAACTAATAGCACTAGAGGCTTTCTCTTTAGTGAGTTTCAAGGCGCGAATAGGGGCACGACCACCACAATGTTAGGCCTCTCCACTAACCATTTCTCAAGTTGCTTCTCTTGTCTTGAGTTGACCTTGATTTGGCTTCTTGAACGAGAATGAGCCTGGACTCTGCTTCAGAAAATGAACCTAGTTGAAATATATTACACAGTTTTCGTATTTTGTTACTTTTGCTTCTCTTTTGTGGTTTGCCGTGTGACGCGGAAACATGCTTCAGAATGGGGATAGAAGTTCGAATGAAATGATGTCAAAGGAGTAAGGGGTCACCATATCCCTACTGTATCTATACTCGATATCCGAGAGTTGGGGTAGGCGTGTCACCGGAAGTGACGTGCACTTGATAGAAGCTATGTGGATAAGCTGCTTCCAACATACATCGCTGGATATCAGCAAAGCATGCTGGCAACAGCTTATCCACGCAACTTCTATCAAGTGCACGTCACTTCCGGTGACACGCCTACCCCAACTTTCGGATATCGACTGTAGAACGCTGTCTGTCTGTTTGGGTGTATGTGTCCCATAAATGTGAAATTTAATAGCCACGTTGCCACAGATGATAAGACGTCGTTTACACGTGTCATAGGACACTATGTGAGTATTCAAAATTATTAGCACTGATAAAGAGCTATAGTGCTAAAACGTTGACTAGCACTAATTTCGTTGTGCCCTTTGCAGTAAAAATGGAAGCAATGATTCTGACATGTGTTATAGAGAGCTGGAAGAATATGGTGGCGATCGAAAGTGGTAAATGATAAGGCTGCTAATTGGCTTTTGAATGTAATCTATAATTTGCAACACGTCTCCCGAGTGAATTTGCTACATTTCGCTGCACAATACAGTAATAGGCCAAATTACTCCGCGCTCAGTGAAAATAAAACTTGCATTTTTGAACTATCATCAAGGGGAGCAGTACTCAATGAACCGCTAAACTGTTCAGATTTCTAGATAATGCTGAACGTTCTTCAGATAAGTTCAGATGATAAGCGAAAGAGCACTTTTTACTCTCCTTCCAATACTGTAGCTAGCGCCACTAAAATGGTTAGAGGTTTCAAATATTTGATCTAGCTTCTATTTCTTACAGTTAATCAATATTACTTTCTCCATTTCTTTATCTGAAGGCTGATCTTGAATGTTTGCAGGGATATGGTTACATTCTCAGCCTACGCTGCCGACGTCCGCTACCGTATAAAAGGACCGCGACTGAGGGGGAATCTGGTTTTTTTCCTCCGCTGGCACGCCGATCGCTCAAGTTAAGGAGCCCTCTGCACAATATCGGATCCCTTCTCATCGTCTCAACTCTCGTCCTTCTCATCGTCGTTCCTCTCGTTTCTTTTTCCCAAATAATCCAAGAACCGCCCTGCTCCTGATTGCCGCAATAACTCGTCCTCCCTGTCATCGGCCGCTATAAAGAACGAGTACTGGAAGCTTCTGGTTTTTTACTCGACTCGATTGTAATAATAAATATTAGTGGTACTTGTCTGGTAAGGCAATTCGAACCCTCGTGGCCAGCATAGTAGCGAAGCACGGTAACAGAAAGGCTCGACACCACTGGAGACACCACAAATTTTTGGTGCATCGGACAATAACGGACTCAGGTCGGTTTGACATTTAGCTGCACTGTTCAAAATTCTACTGCGGTTTTTTTTCATTTCAATATCGGAGTTTACTTAACCGCATTCATTTTGGGTGTAACGGCTTCATTATTGTTTCTTTCTTTCACCTTCGAGAAAGATATCTTTTAATAACGGACTATTTATCTTTCTGGCCCGTGTCAGTGTTTCAATAAGGGATCATGGCGACGCAATTAGCAAACCCATAGGCGCCTGCTAACAAGGTTCTCCAATAGGTTAGAAAATGTGGTAGGCAAAACCCGGGCGGAAAAATTAGATGATCTTTCACTCGATCCCAATACCCCACGGGAAGGAAGGGCGGACAATATCGCCAGAATAGAATAGAAGAAGCGATCAAAGCATAGAAACAATAATTGGAGAGGCGGAAAAAGGACTTTTCGACCTGGCCTCAGCTCTGGACAATCAAGGAGACATCAAACACGATGAAGTGGCGGAATTTGAGTCGTAACGCGCCAATACAGAAGATACTTTGGCGCTGGTCTTTGATCATATCATGCTCCTGCAGGCCCGAAGACAAGCATGGGCATCACAGAAAGACCCAGAAAATGGTCGATCGGTGCAACACGAGTTAGTACAATGGCTCGAGCATTATCACCACGCCGATGATTTCCACATACAGGCGAATCCAATGATTACCGCACCGTGCTTTCTATACGGAACTTTGCATTGGGGGGGGGGAATAGATATGGAATGCGACGCAATTTTTGGGATTTTAGCAACAATATCCACTAGAGGGAACACGCACAAATACCATCTAGAAACATTTCGACAGTTTAGCTGCATTGAATTCAATACATAATGATGCGATTTGTTGACAGAATTATGATAAGTACCAGTCTATGAAGTGTTCATAGTTGGCGATCGTACGTGCGATTAGGCGATTATTTTATAGTGAAAAATATACATATAGATTAGGCGATTAGGCAAGTAGGCCACTCGGCGGTTCGGCGATTAGGCGATTAGGACAATGCTCATGGCGGAGCAAGAACTCAATACGTATCTCTCCGCTTATCCCCTACTCGCACTAATGGACTGCTGCTCGCCCGATCGTTCCAATTTAGCGCGTACGATCGTTCAACAATGAATACCCATTAGCATACCGACATGCATCATTCCGAGGCTATAGTACTGGGGACTTCTGTGGAACGCACGACTAAGCAATTCAATGCAAAGCGTCTTATTTCTGAATGGCGTTAGCTGAGTGACCGTGCGCTCCACGGGTGCTCCATTTTCAAAGCCAGCCGTGTTAAGCCTACGAACTAACGGCTGCCCCTGCGTCGAGCCGTGACTTAACAACACACAAGTTTGTCTATTTAACTATAAATAATTTTAAGCACAGTTTTCTTAATAGATTGACTCTGATACCAAATGAGAGCTTGTGCTGAGTATGGGAGCTGTTCTCACTTGTAAGTACTACTACAATCGTTGATCCGTGGAAAAAATTTTTTTAAAAAACCACAGAAACTTATTAAAGGTTGCTTGTGGTCAACGTACTTGGATCCAGTAGTTACACATGGTGAAGTCCAGTGAAATATGGCGGACCCTCATATTGCCTAGAACATTTGTGAGGGTGGTCCAGTTGGGCGATGCTTCAATAGTATCTCCGCACTTGCCCTCTGGCTTAAAATTTAGCTGATGGTCCCTGCTCTTGCAGCCGAGTGAATTTTCTCTTACTCTGTCGGTACATCGATCTCCACCATAACCTCCAGGACAGACACATGTGCTGCAGTTACGAGGATTAGGGAAACCATTCATCTCACACTTTACGGAGGTAGTGGGATCACACGATTCTGAAATTGATCGTAGTTATCTGATGTAACATTGTAGGTCCGTTGCGGTGGCACAATAATGGCGGCAGCGTTGCGGGGCTTAGCGAAAATCTGCATACCCGCGCGTGTGCAACCTTGCGCTCGCTGTGTCATTCGTGTATGACTCAGTTCACAATCCAGGACCTATACGTCTGGTTTTTTGTGAGATACTTTTCTAGTAATACTGCATAAACACTTTCCTGCTCACCATTGCATCTGTACAGCATATTGACCATTAACAGGTCGATGAATGATATGAACGGTGACCCAAGAGTGGAGCCATAGTCGTGGTCGAACGGCACTATCGCTGGCTGTTTTTTATCCATCGCCACACTATAATAGGTGTATTCAAGAACGAAAATCCCACTCCAACCAAAAATAACACTGCTGATAATTTGCACGTATTCCGTTAGGAAGAAGTCAGGCTTTGCATTGACGCACGAATGTCGTAATAACCCACCATCCACTGTCCGCAGGTCGTCCCTTGGCTCCCGCAGCACAATGTGGCGAGTATTAGTATTGCGGTTGGCTAAATGAAGCGCCGGCGATGCATCCGGCAATACTGATCTTTCACCTTGCGTTGCGACGCTGCGACAATTACGACGCGTGCGGACAGGACTGTCCGTGTGCTTTGCCGCAAAGTATTGACGTTCCTCTCTCAAATCACACACAGCGGTTATTCTCTAGGTCATATGCACCGATAATTAAAAACTCTGGTGAATGTTTCACAAGAATGCTGGGTTGTGAACAAAACTTTCGCCCCAGGCGGGACTAGAACCCGCACCTCTCGCTTTCCGGGCAAGTGCGCTACCAGTTACGCTACCGGGGCACCATTTCATTCCAACTCAGCTTTTCATGGTATACGTACCATAGCTTTCAGCACTCACACGTCTAACGTGTTGAGCCGGTTAGCCGATATCGGCAATGACCGCGAGGCTGAAAGCTTTAGCAATGAATTTTGACTTGTTTTGTTTGTTAACTGCTGTTTTAACGCCGCAGTTCGCGTTGCGAATGTTTCACAAGAATGCTGGGTTGTGAACAAAACTTTCGCCCCAGGCGGGACGTTTCATATAGCTCCTCGCGCTTATTTCCGGTGAGAAGTAAGCTCGCGAGAAGGCTACTGAAACAACTCTGCATTGACGTGTGTACCGTCGGCCGCCGTGTAGAATGCGCCAGTCGTTTAATATTTCCCCGTTGTCAAGCGCCCTAGCATACGATGTCTGCTGCGCGCCGATGACCTAACAATACATACCAGTTCTATAGACTCTGAAAACATCTATCACTTCAGAAAAGTTTTGAAATTAGTGAATAAGAATTTTTTGCAGAACACATGTCATGACCAACCTCCATCCTCCGTAGTGCATAATGCACCGTAGTCATAGTAAACAAATGTTTGTGTACCTCCCTCAGTGGCTTGTCTGGTAAAAGCCCCCCCTGTAAACTGGCAGCTGTTACCAATAGTACTGTTACCACTCTCCAACCTAAGTATTATAATATATTAGTAATACGAAAATATATACCATGAAATTTGCGAGATTAAGGACGATGAATTGATCGTGGTCGTGCCTGGACATAGTGTGGTAGAGTCCTAGTGCATGACCAATCTCATGAGCAACAATATCGACCAGAAGTTCACATCTATCTTCCTAGTGAAGTCCTGTACAACCTCCTCGTCTCTCCTCTGCTGAAGACAAGTGCTGCCTCTGCTTCCTACGATTCGATCGTCAGCTTGAAAAGAACCATTTTCTGCACGCACTAGCAGAGCACATCTTCGCGCTTTATTTGATCGGTACTCAGTGCCTGGAAAGCACGGCCAAAGGTGCACTCTCGGTTTTGGCACTCTTCATACAACAATTTATTTTCTGACATCCATTGGTCCAAATCATTTTTGTTGATCAAAGACCATTTAAGGTATGTGCAGCGGCAGAATCGTGCGGATTCGAATGGCGACTATGACCTATTACTAGGGGAGTGGCAACTATGCTAGTGTGCTAGATCCTGTTCTTAGGGTATTTCATCTCTGAATAGTGCGATCAGGTATTATCCCATAAGTTATTTCGCTTAAAGGCAAAGTTCGGGATTTCTGGCGAAATTTAGGTTTTCCCCGTCAAATATGCAGCAGTACGCAAGGGCAGACCATGTGCAGAAGTGGCGGGGCGATTTGACAAGGTTTAGGCGCTAGGAGCCTAGGTTGGAGCATTGGCGCCGCCCCAACCCCATTGAGCCCGCCCACTGTTCCATGCGACCTTCCAAACAACCACATGGAACACTAGATATTAAGTTGTTATTTGGAAGGTCGTTAAGTGGCCTGACTTCAACTGTCAACTTCAATACCAAAGCCTATGTTACGGCCATTTACAAGAAAGCTTTCCATTCATGATCCGATAGAAATTCTAAATGAAATTTTTAATAAAGTTTTTAAAGAACAACAAAAAAGACGCATAATCAACAAAACTAATGAATGAAAGAAATCAATTTCATCGCTGAGATGTTAGTAGATTGATATGGCATAAAAGCCAGACAGTTGCTTGACACTTCCCAACCGTGCTGTCAGTAAGTAAGAAAGCGAGTTATAATTTTTTGCACATTTCGGGGTCATATTTCTTTTTCTCTAGTTGATCATTAGTACCCAGGTCATTCAGTTAAGTCCCTCACAATTTGTAGAAGAACCTCCCACGTTTATCCCGGTTTTGCCTTTAAGCAGTAACCCGTTGCTCACCAATGTGCAGCTGCTGATGGAGAGTGCAATCTATCACCACCCAATGCACTCTGTAAATCATTCATTGCATTAATCACTTGCCATTTTGTATAAAACCACAAATTTGTGTGTTTGTCTGTGTGTGCGTCGTTTTGTCCTTTATGACAAACCGGGGATTCCGATGGGCAATGTTTCGTGATCGTGATGCTGATGCCATGATTATGATAACACCCACGGCGGCTATAAATATAAACACCAATCGAGCACACTCCTCATTCTGCATGGTGCTGCCGCGACAGCTGGGCAGAAGGTGGAAGAAAGAGGGTAGGAAATGGAAAGATGTGCAGGAGGGAAGGGAGCCAGGTTGGAGGATAAACGAGGAGTAAGCAACGGCCTCCAAGAATGAGTCCATTATCCGTTGGAAAAATTATCCGACGGAGTCTGATTTTTGATAGTACTTTTTTATATAGCGCTAAGCAGTATTTTGCAATACATGATTTGTAGAATATTGCAACGCTTATATAACACCATACTGTAGCAAGATTGGCATGTCAATAGTGATAGCTGTTGAGACTGGCCATGCAGGAGGATGGGGTGGAAACGACGCAAAATCATTCTACAACACAAGTGTGTTCGTCGCAGACAAAGAAGGTCGCGGTTGTTTCCCAGACCTACCTGGTTAAACAAAAAGAGTGAATCGACACGAACCGTAGACTCGAACTCAAACTCGAAGGGAGATATCGGAGGTGAAGACGAGAAGCAGAAAAAAGTTTTGGGTGTCCAAGTTCACCTTTTATACCTTTCAGGAACTTTGTAGGGCACTTGCAGTAGTGACGGGAACATCGCGGACACATCCTTTTGAAAAAAACCGCTGAAACCGCGTTGAAGCACATGTGGTCTCGGGGGAGGGGGGGGACAATCACAACCTTATCCAAAAATCATTCATCAACTTCTAAAAGAACAAGCGTCAGCGTTCAAGATATATAAATGTCAATCCTCATCACAAAGTCCACTCAAACTCTCTCTGAACAACCCGCGAGTTCCACACACCTGTAGACATTGTAAGCTTGTTTATGTTGTCGTGAGAGGTGGGGTTTCAATGTGCAAGGAGCAATATATACAGTAGTGGCCAGAAATTTATGAACAAACGGTTTTTTCATGATTTCTCTTTTGAAAGTCACTGAACGTCTCCAAATTTGCAACAATTATTAACTACGTGTTTTATGATCCACACAGAAAATTTCAACCTTCAGCTCAAATTTGGGTTTAGAAAATTTTAGATTTTTCGAAATTAATGAAGGCAGGTGAAAGATCACTTGATCCGTTTATTTGATTTAATAATGTATAACCCAACAGAACAGTCAAGTAAACAGTCACTAACATTAAGCAAGTCTAGCATTGCCCAGAACTCTCTAAAGTATTGGATACATAAACTGGATTTGAATGCGGGGTCAACTAATGAACTCACTCTCTAGTGGGGTCTCTCTCTGTAGTCCCGTCTTTTCGTGGCTCTTTCACTGAGATACGAATCTGTAGGTCCTCCCCTAGTGGTTCTGTAATGTTTGGCTCAAGAGTCTGGCCTGGCTGGTCTTTTAAAAGCACCCCATGCTGTCGAAACCACTCCTGCATGTGAGAGGCCCGATGCTTTGAGTCGCTGCTCTGCTGACAGACAAAGCCAGGTCGTGGCAGCCATGTCCTACGGATACATAACATCTTCTAGAATCTAAGTCTATACTACGTATTCCTTAGTTCTCAAAGTCTAAGAAGAGCGCTCGCTGTGAAGTGGGTGGGAGTAGAATGTGATTGACTAAGCCTGAAACGAAGGTTGATACAGGTTTCTAAAGGTCATCTGGAATGACAAAAACATATTACTGATGCATGACAGCAAGGATACTAGTAATGTACGGCACCCACGAGAGGGAACGTTTTGATCCAAAGAATCAGCTGCCAATTGTGAAACTTGGCGGAGGCTTGATAAGGTTGCCTTGGAAAAAAGTGGGACCACGCTACACGACTGAGGTAGCGATGAAGGCAGACGTTTGCTGTCATGTTTTGGAAGGTGTCATGTATCCGTAGGCGTGGCTGCCGCCCGACCTGACTTTGCCTGTCGGCAGAGCAGCGACTCAAAGCATCGGGCCTCTCACATGCAGGAGTGGTTTCGACAGCATGGGGTGCTTTTAAAAGACCAGCCAGGCCAGACTCTTGAGCCAAACATACAGAACCACTAGGGGAGGACCTACAAATTCGTATGTCAATGAAAGAGCCACGAAAAGACGGGACTACAGAGAGAGACCCCACTAGAGAGTGAGTTCATTAGTTGACCCCGCATTCAAATCCAGTTTATGTATCCAATACTTTAGAGAGTTCTGGGCAATGTGCTAGACTTGCTTAATGTTAGTGACTGTTTACTTGACTGTTCTGTTGGGTTATACATTATTTAAATCAAATAAACGGATCAAGTGATCTTTCACCTGCCTTCATTAATTTCGAAAAATCTAAAATTTTCTAAACCCAAATTTGAGCTGAAAGGTTGAAATTTTCTGTGTGGATCACAAAACACGTAGTTAATAATTGTTGCAAATTTGGAGACGTTCCAGTGACTTTCAAAAGAGAAATCATGAAAAAACCGTTTGTTCATAAATTTCTGGCCACTACTGTATATACGCAAGGATTTCATCCACATGTGCCTATATGACTTTGTAGTGCATTAACGACAAAAAATCTTCTGTGTTTATTGACATTCGAAGGGCTTTGCATAAGCGTAGGCCTGGAGTCCTGCACGGGAACTTTTTGCTTCCTCCCATATGAACGCAGCCTAATCACGTAGCGACATAAGTACAGAATCCGACGCAAGAAAATCAGTTTTGAAGAGCAAATGGGCTGCGTAGCGTTTCTCCTCCTGGGGTCAGCTCATCGTCGCACGCGGCGACTGCACTCGCCGCGTGTGCGGCGATTCTCGCGATGTGGAGGTTTTTACTAGTCCATGCTGTTGTCCACCGTTGCAGCCTTCACATTTGATTGTCAAGTGACGAGGTGGCTTGTCCCAAGCACAGTAAGGCTCTTCCACTTTGATGTCTCCCATGGACATGAGCGCCAGAAATTAAGTTTGGAAATTAAGAAACGCTGCGGAGAACATTGGAACTTTCTGAAACAGTCTGAGTGAACGAACCATAGTAAACTGCGTATTAACGTCATGTAGAATGGGCGTCATGTGAAAACATATCGCCATACTGCATGATCTACTCTCTTTCACGCCATTGGGGAGAAGGGGGTCAGTCAAATTAAAAACAGGTCACTCAAACAGCGCCTAAGTTGCTCATTCGGCAGTAACGAATCGATAAAATTAACG